TTAGTCAACCCTTACAGTAATGACTAACAACCTCTAAATTATTAAACTAACTAAGTTGCTATTCTAATTTTCTAACTCTTATTACTTTAGTCCTAATTAATCTAATTCAAGGAATTAGACTATGATTTATACCATCAAGGGTTGTAATCCTAAAAATTCTACAAAACTAAATTCCACCTATATAAATCCTAATCTAATATGTTTAATTATCATAAAATAGGAAAATAATAAAAATTTAAATTTTAGAGTATAATTGAGAGTTCACACTTTTGCTACAAAAAATGGTTTATACCAAATTGTGATTCGGCCTTCCATTATATTTAATTGTGCATCATCTATCATAGAGAGTCGTGTTTTTCTCTGGCATGGACAATTGAGACATCCAGGATCCACATTATTTAAAAAAATCATTCCATATATAACTAGACATAATTTAAAGCCTACGGATGTAGACTCTATAGAATTATGTTGTGCATGCGTGCAAGGTAAAATGATTACTCGGCCTTCAATTTGGAAACTTCCACAAGAATTACCACCAATGCTTGAAATATTACATGGTGATATTTGTGGTCCTATTAATCCAATATCAGGACCATTTCGTTATTTTTTGGTCTTTGTTGATGCATCACATAAACAATCACATGTTTCATTATTATCAACTCAAAACATGGTGTTTGCCAATCTTATATCTATACTTATTTGTTTTTGGACATATTTTCTTAATTATCCTATAAAAATATTATGTATGGATAATACATAATGCAAATTCTCCATACGTAATGTAAGAATTTGCATCAAAGTCTTTTGAAGACTATTGTACTACAATAGGAATTAAGTTGACATATTGTGTTCTATATGAACATACTCAAAATGGACTTGTAGAGTCATTTATAAAGTGTATACAACTCAGTACCCGGCCATTCCTCCTTCACGTAAATTTACCTGCATCTATGTGGGATCATGCAGTTTTACATGATGCAGCATTAATATGCCTCCGTCCTTCTTCTCTTGAAATTGTTTCATCACATGAGTTCATTTCGAGTCATATTCCAAATGTATCTCACTTACGAGTATTTGATTGTCGTACTTGCATTCTAGTACTAGAACTTCAATGACGTACCATTAGAGCTCATCGACAAGAAGGCATATATGTTGGTTTTGATTCACCAAACATTATTTATATTGTTGATCTATCAACTGGCACATTATTATGTGCACGTTTGAAAAATTGTCGTTTTGAAAAAAATGTATTTCCATCTCTTCAAGGAGGAATATCCAATCAACAAAGAAAAAGTACTCATATTTGAAGCACCAAAAACGTTTACAATGAATCTTGATCCTAGGACATCTTTGGCAGAAACTAAAGTTGCTAAGATTTTACATCTAAAACAGATTGCAGATGAAACACCTGATGGCTTCAATGATGCACTTAGAATTACAAGAGTTCCTATTAATGAGGCTCAAAATGCACCTGCTCAGATTGTTGTGCCATTGATTACAATACCTCAAGTTATAACAACAACAACTAAAAGAACTCGTGGACTAGATAAGCAACCGCGTAAGAAAAAAACTATAAAATTGACTAATCCTGGTATTATTTCTCAAGAAATTGCCACTCATCCTATAAGACTATCAATTCATGATAATATATCCATGCATAATGTACTTTCAATTCCTATGAAAAATAATCTTAGAATTGGAAGGAATAAGAACAAGTTGAGTAAAGAATTATCTATTCTGAATTATACTACATATGATATTTGGCATAGACCATCTATTACGGTAGATGAATCATTTGCATATATGATTATAGAAGCCCTTTCTTGCAAGGAAGATGATCTTGAACCTCAAACCATCGAGGAGGTGATACATCGCTCTCATTGGTCAAAATAGAAAACTACTATTGAGGAAGAGTATGCCTCTATGCGTAAGAGGAAAGTCTTTGGTCGAATTGTAGATACTCTTACATCTTGCCCTGTGGGATATAAAATGGTATTAATATGCAAGCGAAATGCTCAAGGCCAAATAACCCGCTACAAAGCTCGTCTTGTTGCTCAAGGATTTACTCAACAATTTGGCATTGATTATGAATCCATATATTCTCCAGTCATGGATTCAATTATATTTCAATATATTATTGGAATGACAATTCATGCCACCCTTGAGATGCATCTGATGGATGTAGTAACTGCATATCTATATGGTTCTCTTGATGCAAATATTTCTATGAAAGTTCTACCTGGCTTAGAAACAGGAACTCCAAATCGACCTGCTCCAGGACAATATCGTAGTATTAAATTATGTAAGGCCTTATATGGTTTAACACAATCCGGACACATGTGGTATCAACGTCTTCGAGATTATTTAATTACAAATATTTTATAAGTGATCCACTAATCCCTTGTTTGTTTATCAAATGAGATAAAATTGGTTTTGTCATCACCGCTGTATATGTTGATGATCTTAACCTAGTGGATACTACATCTGCATGTGTTATAGTTACCAATCTACTTATATGTGAATTTGAGATGAAAATGCTAGGAAAAACAACTTTTTGCATTGGTCTTCAGATTATGCATCTAACAGATGGTAGCATTTTTTTCTACCAACTAACGTATATTAGACGAATCTTGTGAAGATTTAATATGATTGATACTTATCTATTGTCCACACCAATGGTTGGACATGGTCGTGATGGTCATGATCCATATCGTCCATGCGAAGAGGAGGAGGAAATATTGGGAGATCAATATCCATACCTTGCATGAAGATAATAGTGCTTATATTGCATAGATGCAAGTTGGTTTCATTAAAGGTGACAGGACAAAGCATATTGATCCAAAGTATTTTAGTTATATTCATGACTTGATTATTGATCAAGCACTTATAATTAAGAAAATTGAATCTACAAATAACTTTGTTAGTCTCTTCACCAAAGCTCTCTCATTAAGCAACCATCGTCGACTTACTTATGGCATTGGTATGCGGTGACTTACTTTTCTTGAATAAGAAAGTTAATGAACTCTTTAAATAATTTTAAAAAAATGATGTACTCTTTTTCTTTCATCTATGGTTTTATCCTTAAATAAAATAAGGTTTTCTTAGATAAGGTTTTAATGAGGCAACAATTGTTGATCTTGCAAGATCACACAAAAGTATAGATTATAATTCTATATAAATTTTATATTATGTAAATATTATGATGAGCGAGGAGGAGTGTTGAAATCATTAAATGTAGCCGGTGCTCTCCATAATATTTACTATAGACTATAATAAATACCATAGCTACATTATTTAGAGTCTAGTCGAGAAGTACTGTTTATATTCTTTTCTTTTCTCTTCTTGTATACGAGACACAACCACATCAATAGATTTTTATTTGTAAAGCTCTCTCTCCTTAGAAACCCTCTTGTGTGTATGACTTACTACTACTCTTGTGTGTGTGTATGACTTACTATTACTCTTGTGTCTTTCTAAACATTCTCAACACAATGCAAACTGATTGATATTAAATAAAAATACCTATGATATGCTTACCATCGAGATTCTCATACCTACAATTATAAGTGGCTTGCGTTGTAAAATACAATACTCACAATTTTTATTTATCTAAATCTAAAATCTACCAACAAGACACTAATTTGTTCCAATTGAGCTGATCACGCATTACAAAATTACTTCTAACTAAAAGGCATTTAATAAAGATAGGATCATTGTTGATGATCATGAAATTCTAAAGCACTATTATTATTTTAGAAATAGTTTTATAAAACCTAGATTAAATTATAGATGAAGACTATATTGGACAATTTATAATTCACATTCAAATTGGAGCAAGGATTGTCTTTGATTTTTAATGTATTCTTTGGCATCTTGTGTTAAGTCACAAAGTCTACCTTAAGCATGGTTTATAAGCATCTAAATTGTGAGTCTATACAATCATAAGTCAATTGCACATTGAAATCTTATTTGTTGAAGATAACTTTGTTTATAATATAATTGCAAGCCTCTCAGTAGTTTCTTTCAATATATTTTTTTGTTGCCATACATCTTGGATACAAAACTTAAATTGGTTGAGCTAATCAGCTGTAGTAGTTGAAAAACCTCATATAGCAATATAATGCTTGTAAATCCAAAATTCTTATATCAATGCCACTTTCGTGAGTTAAGTCTTTGAAAGATGTTCCATCCTAACTTAATAAGGTTGTATAGAGTATAGTTTTGTTAAAGGACAAACATGATACATATTCAAGGAGACGGAGGACAAGATGTCCCATCACAATGTATAGAATCTGACACCTGTCAGGTGCTGGAAGGTGAAAAGGAGAAGTTGTGCACTATCAAGTAATTGTGGCACTCTCCTTCTTTTTCTAACAATCTACTTGAGAGTAAACATCATGTATGACCATTTTTTTTCCTAACACATTAAATCACAAAACGACTATTTTGGCCCATATGAAGACAAAAACATTCATGGAATTGTCAAATTTTTCATATCTTATTAAGGTAGAGGGTATATATACTATTATCAACAATTTTAGGAATATATATGCTATTATCAAGAATATAAGAATACTCTTGATATGTCAATATATTCAAGGAATATATGATATTATTGAAGCCATAAAAATAGGGAAATGTTAAAACAATACAAATTTTTACTAAATCAAGATTCATTGCACCATCATCTCCGTTCCCCTGTTCCAAGCCTCCGTCCTGTACTCAACTCCTCTCCCCTGTCCCCATCCCCCTTCCCCGTTCTCCTTGCCCAAATCTTTTCTCCGGCAACTCGCCGCTGTCCATGCGCCTCTAACTGTAATGTGGAATGTGGAAAGTAAGCATACAAACCTAGACTTCCAACAATGCATGGGTGCATGTTTTCATTCCAAAGAAAGTGAGTGCCGAATTGGCCCACAATCTTGACATCCTTCACCTGACTTGTCTCATATTTTGTATCGTTCAGCGCCATAGTCACAAAAATCAAAGGTTTAAGCGTGATCATGAAAAATGAACCAATTCTTGATCTGTTTTTGCTACAGAAAAGTCAAAAATTATACAACTTAAATAAGAAATTGAAGCCACAAGTTCAAAAATTGATCCCTGTCATCTTCTGCCACGGCGGTGGATTTGTCTTCTTCATTCCCAACTTTGTGTGCTACAACACATTTTGTCGACGTCTGGCTCGCAAGTGCCATGCACTAGCGAACTCTGTGCACTACAGGAGAGAGTTGCTAACGAGTTTTTTGAATTCAATCACATGTTTCAAATCGTTTGTGCAAGTTACAAGTATTCCTCTGACGAGTATGTGTGGGTACAAACGAGCACTGGAGCACAAATTCCTCGTCACCTATGATGATTGCTTCACTGCACTGGAGTGGCTTCAATCTGGACAAGCAACTCAGTACCTTCCTTGGAGCATCGACCCCCCATGTACTGACTTGTCAAGAGTTTATCTCTGTAGCGACAGCGCGGGTGGCAACATTGTGCACCACATTGCAATTCAAGCATCCGAGACGGATATCAGTTCATTGTGCATTAAAGGCCTGATGCTGCTCAGTCCGCTCTTTGGTGGGCAGGAAAGGATCCCGGCCGGAATTCGCGTGAGAAACGTCCCTGTGGTGTCAATGAAGAGATTAGACTTTAGCGCGCTTACTTTTCACATTCCACATTGCAGCTAGAGGTGCATGGGCAACGGTAAGTTCCCGGAGAAAAGATTTGGACATGCAGGACGGGAGAAGGGGGATGGAGACAAGGGTTGAGAAAGGGGACGGAAGCTGGGAATGTGGGAACGGGGATGAGGGCGCAATGATTGTTCATCCAACAAAGTGGGTAGATTTAGTAGAAATCTGGGTCGCTTTAACATTCCCCTAAAAATAGTGAATGTTAAAATGACCCAGACTTTTGTTAAATTGACCCATTTGTCTAAATCATGATTGCACCCTGTGTCCTCCATCCCCGTTTCCCTGTTCCCAACCCTCATCCCCACTCTTCAATGGTGTTTCAAAGGGCAATGCTTGGTTTCAGCGGAGCAATAATCAGGTTTTCAGTCACGAAGAACGTTGGCTCCTTACTTGAATTTTGACATTCTTGCATCCATCGATAAATTGCAGACTTTTCATATGTTACGCCATTTTTTAAAGAAATATGATTGCGCATGATCTTCCTCGTGAGAGGACATGAGAATGGTTTGTAGAGAGGCTCTAAAGGCGTCACTCCCGATGATGCAACACAACATCGGGATCTTCAGACGGAGTGGCCTGATTACCAGACTGCTGCGCAAGGCTGTTCGAACCATTCTCAACCATGCCCACCATGTGTGGATCATGCCGTTCCTTCGTTTCCTGCACGTCACGTTTAATCGCATCCATCTTGTTCTTCAACTTCGAGCTTCCCCGTTTTAAATCCTCCACCCCAACTGCCTGGTGCATATGTCTATCACACAATCTTGCTTCAATTTTGAGTCATTCAAAGCTACGTTGTCAGCACCCTCCCCAGCTCACACTCTTCCTTGATGGGTTGTTGTGGTGACACCGAAGCTCCGATTGGGAGAAAATCTTAAACAACCGCCTTCTTCTTACTGGGGGATGAGGGAGGGTGGGGAACGGGGGAATGGTGATGGAGGACAGAGGGTGCAATCATGATTTAGACAAATGGGTCAATTTAACAAAAGTCTGGGTCATTTTAACATTTCCCAAAAAATATCATATAATATATAACTTAAATAAATAAGTATATATATATATATATATATATATATATGTATATATATATACACACCTTTAAGTAACTAAACTTTTAAGATTCCTATGAAAATTTCATTGTGAATTTTAAGTTTATCAAGGAGTAAAAATCATAAAAATCCAGTATGAAATTATTGATAAGATCATTTTAACATTCTGTACATGTGAACACAAAGATTTTTTTCTCTAGCCTGCATTAGAAATAATTGTAAAGTGTCATTCCATGCATTTACAGTGTACATGCAGTTGACGAGCCACATTAATTATATTCCATTTGCATGTATTTTTATAAAAGTCATAATTCCACAACTTAAACGTTGAAACATGAAAATTACAGTAAAAATACAATTGGTTTGTTTCATCGTTTTGAAAGAAGAACAGCCAAAAACAGAGCCAGGAAAACAACAAACAACTGGTCCAAGATGACCTTCAACCACCAATGAATGGCAAGCAGTTGCACCAAATAGATAGATAGCTCAAATCCAGGCCACGAATGCCGAACCTCGATCAATTAAACAAAAAAACAAAACAACACAAATCACAGCACAAGGACCCTTATGCAAAATAATGAACAAAGAAAACAACGACAATAATAAGAAGAATAATGAGTGTAGGAATCAGTGATGTGCTTTCGATCAGTCGGAGGAGCTTGGGAAGAAGAGCGATGAGCTTGAGATGGTGACCGTCATCCAAGACAAACAAGACAAAGCTTAGCCAGCAACGAACCTTATGCGTGTTATATGCAACTCTAGAGGGGTGCTGTGGATCTGCAACCAGGAACCACTCATTCACGCCGCTCTTTGGACCAGGTTGACTGCCCGGGACCCCTTTTTCCTGCTCCTCAGGAGCCGCTCGCATGCATCGTTGATTAATTGCATGAAAGCTGTGGACTGGGCTCCCAGCTCCCACCCCGAGAAAAAGTCCACGTCCACGATTTTCGGTTCAGTAAGGGCCTGTGACTTCTCGGCAGTTCAGGCGGATCGTGAATGAGATGAGACCCTGGAACTGAGTCTCAGATTGTGCTCACGACCCACTTCCTGCTTCGGAATCAGACCCAGCTGGATCGTCTTCGAAGTGGACTAATCGTTGCCGAGTGCTCGATGAATGCGAAACTTTGACCCTGATGGCGTTGAACCTGCTCCATGAGGTTCACGACGTGGGTTTCTGCGTAGCTCGGCTGACCGATGATTGACAACGGTGGTGTCATGTTCTGTCTGTGATTGTGTGTGTCATAATGGTGCGTGGGTTTATCTCCCTGCTGGTCGTCGTTGTGGCGTCACTGAGCTTCGGTGAACGCAGTCTCCCAACGTGCATGGCTTTTCCTCAGTCTCCCAGTGTTAATAATACGAGCGTGCACAATGGATATCGCTTGTAAGTTAACTAGGGAAGGAGTTCTCCACAACCTGAACGCGTTGATTTGCAAGCAGTCGGCGGCCTCCCATGAGGAAAAAATCCTCAAGCTTATATCATAGAATATAAGCTAGAATTCTGATGGTTCTGTGTTCACTAAACGGGCTAATATCTGGTATCATAGTGTTTGAGAATTCTAGTATTCCATTGCAGAAGAGGAGGGAGGGGGTGGTAGTGAGATGTACCAGCACTCAAGAGCTTGTCGAAGTTGAAGGTTGAACTTGAGCTAAGTTATTAGACTGATGTTGATTTTGTCAGTTTGTTGTCTAACATTCTGGACATCTTTCAGAAACATTTCTGTCCCACAAACAGAATTTTTGCCATTGGGAATTTTTGTAAGCTGTTTTGATTTTGCAAAACAACGAACATGGAATATGCTAGTTTTTGAACTACGAATGATTGAGAGAGTCGGAGACAGTCAATTCTAAGGTGAGCTTTGGTGAGCATTTTAACTTGGATTATCGCCTTCTTTTTCTTGCTTTTAAACTGTATGTCAGAAATGTAATTTCATTGTGCAGGATAGTGCATCAGAATGTGATTGTGAAAAGGTTTCTTCTACATTCTCGTATATTACATGCTGGTGCTGCATAATGAAGTTTTACAATTAACGCATTGAACACCTTTAAAGAACAAGTTAGATTGATTATTAACAGGATAAAAACTTATCAAAGTTGAACTTGAATAAATGTAATACAATAAATGAGTAGATAATTTATTTTTTATGGTAGAAAGATTGGTCTATATTAACAAAAAAAACCTGTTTACCTAATTTGAACTTATATTAGTTTGTGATATTTTTTATAACATAATAAGTAAAAATAAAAATAAAAATAAAAATAATATTAAAATATTTTATTTAATGAATACTTTGTAATATATAAAACTACTTGAGTTCTATACATTTTAAATTAAAAAATATTCTTTTTTATTTTTATTAAATATTTTAAATAATATTTAAAAAGCTTTAGAATTTCAATAAATTTTGATCTAAACTCTTATTCAAAATATTTTGATACAATTTTATATGCTATTTTTATCAAAAGCATATTATTTTTTAAAAATTATCTAGTATAAATGAAGATTTTTTCATTCTCCTTTCAAAAAAATATCTAAAGTATAGCTTTACATATAGCTTGTCAAATAATTACATGTATTTTTATTACTTTCATAGTATTTTTTTTTAATAGATAATTATTTTTACTAAGATTAATTTATATAAGATTTTTGTTTTATTAATAAAATCATTAATGATTATTATTGCTAGAAGAAAGTTTATTAAACAATTTAACTTTTTTTCATATTCTATGTTATGTAGTTTAATTTTTTAATTGATCTTAAGCATAATAAATAAATTTAATAATTACTTGTAATACTTTCATGTATCAAGTGTTAACAATTGTAGTTTTATTTCAAAGAGACTACATTAATTTTTTTTTGAAATTTTATATTTTATATTTTAAAAAATAATAGTCTTAGATTAGAATCAATTTATATTTCTAAACAATGTCTAAGTTATAATCAATTGTTTTTGGTGCCACAATCATAGATTATTTCAACTTAGCTATATAATGCATTAAAAGAACTTATGGCCAAGAATATTATAAAAGATCAAAATTAAGTTAAAACACTACTATAGATTAATAATATTCAATAGTTTTTTGGATAATATGCTGCTATCTAAATTATTATTATAATGGCTTTATTAGTAATTATAAGGGCATTTTATCTAGTCCTATTAATATGAAACATATAATGTGACATATTATTAAAAATATATACATAGATAAATTTTTTTAATATTATATTAAATATATGTATCTATAAATAAGTACATATATATATATATATATATATATATATATGTAGTATTGTGGAAATATATACTAAGTAGGATTTGATTTTAAATACTCATAAAAAATGAGGTTAAATTATTGTTGAATCTAATTTTATAATTTGATGTAGTTTAGAATAGAAATCTCCACACATTTAAAATTTTATTACTTAACTTTATAAAGTTAGCTAAGACATATTGAAAAGATGGAATTCTCACTTGTTTAGAATTTTAAAAACTACTAGATATTAATGTTAATATATCTTTTAGTATGTTCTTAGTATATATAATTTATGGTAGTAATAGAGTTCATGATGTTTAATATGTTATTATTTTTTCTACGACATCTTTTAAAAATCATCAAATTATTTAAAATAAATTATGTCTTAGATCCAAAAACCATCTTTAAATAACTTATAAAAACTTAATCAATTATTTTTTAAAAATAATATTTTGAATTTCTAATAAAACTTAATAATATAAATAATTTTATCATGAATGCATCAAAAGTAATTATTAATTATAAAAAGCTAAATCTTATATATATATATATATATATATATTTAAAAAATAAAATAAAATAATTATTTATAATTTCATACTTTTGATATTTTTTATCATTAGAAGAGGTTGAGAAGAATAATTTTAATTTTTTTGTAAATATGTCATTGATCTTGTCTAATTTTATAAAGAGATA